TGGAGACTCGTCCACCCAGACGTATCCATAGCGATGTATCTACCCAATGCATTTCTCCCAACGCACTTCAAAGAAAGAGACCGACTCGCAGAGTGACAATACCAGAGTGGTTCGAAAAATGTGGCTTCCCGACTAGTGAAACCCTGGTCGTGGTGCCAACGATCCGCATGTCCCTCACGGGAAATGGCGTCACTCCAATTGGATTTGGAGGGGATCCACTCAAAGTAAATCCAACATCTAAGTGAAAACAATAGAATGTGAATCATATGACTCATGTGCTCGAGGTCAGGGCTGTCTGACCTTCCCTTGATGAGCGCCATCAAGGCAGCGGTATTGTCTATGTACCATGTGCCGCGGCGATTGCGAAATCGCTCAGGTGTGGTAGTCAATGCCATGAGGACCTGCAAAAGTTCTAGTTGTGCGATCTTAGCCTCTCCTGGGGTCCAAAGAACGTAGATGGACGGTGGGAGATAGGAAACAAATCCAAGCCGGCTCTCGGTGTCCTCGTGGAAGAAGACGAGGAGAAAACCACCTGTCCCTTCACCGGGGGTCTCCAATGCAGCGTCAGACGCTGCCACAAAGCGCTCATGGTGTCTCGGCCAGACATCAAGTTCACGCTCCGGATGGATAGAGAGCACTGCTTCGAGAATTTGAAAGCATTGTTCGATAGCTGGCGTCAGTTGATCACCTCGGACAAGCTGACGTTCCTTAATGGCATGGAGACCTCCACATCCTATCCTGCCGTAGACGCCCTGCTCGAAGAAGTTAGCCAGTCCGTACAGCTTAGCTGCAACACCGGGCTTGAGAGCTTGAGTTGCACGGCATTCATGGATAATGGCCTTCAACTTGGTTTCCAGGCGTTCCCTCGCCCAAAAGGAGACAAAGCCACCAGATAGTGCGGACGAAAGGTCATGGTCAAGGCCTAGAAACAACCCCTTGGGGCGCATAGCCTGGCGTTTCTCTGCTGCAAAAGGGGTGCCCAGAAGCTGATTCAAGGCTCCAAATGCCCATTGAGCCGAACCCCGGCTCGAAGACCAGTCCTGAATAGATGCATCATCGAAGTAAAGCGAAACCAGGACATAGCACAGGCGGCGTCCCAGGGCCTCTACAAGACGGCTGTACCGATTGAAGGATGTAACGGCCAGTGGAAGACCAAATAGCAGACCGGCGTAGACTTGAAAAGCCGGAGCAGCCCATTCATGATGCCAAAACGTCACAACGCATCCCCGCGTTTCGTTGGCTCCCATTGGGCTGTGGCGATAGGCATCCGGCCAGTCTTCTCCACCTGTCTCCCAGGTATCGGTGGCGGCTGCCTGGGCTCGCTCAGAGGGACTCATCTGGCGCAGGACTTGGCTAATGTGCTGAGCCGGTCGTAGTGGTGAGCAAAGCACCAACTTGTTGGCATCGGCCGAGCGTAAGGTTTGTCCTCCTGCATCAGCGTTGTCAATGATCCGCTGCTTGCCTGAAGACTGTGTGATCACACAGCGTGGGATCAGGCGGTACGGCTGCCCCTGCAGCTGCTGACGCAACTGTGCCAGCGTCAGGGGAGGGGTACAGAACCCTCGTGCCGCGTCCTTTGTAGACTGCTCCAACAGGAACAGGTCATCTTTACCCGGCTTGAGGGTAGACAAGATCTGATGGTTGTGTGCTTCGCATCCGGCCAGGACCTCTGTAAGAGTAATACGTTCGGCAGGCTGAGATGGAAAGACGCCGTAGCAGGGTGCATAACCGACTGCCGGCAGGCCTTCGATGAGCCCAAAGGGTATGTAACATCAGGCCATGACGTCAGCAAGATCAACAGCGCGACAAAGCCGAGGTCACGGGTGGCTGTGGTCGCCTGCAAGGCGACAGGTTGAAACTGCCGTAGATGGCGTCCTACTGCACACCAACGCCGATGAAGTTCTCGAAGTGCTCCCACGGCTGCACGGCGAAGGTCTCGGAGACGACCTCGGTACTGAGTGTGGCAATCGGCTGCAAAAGCCAGGTCCAGGTCCAGCA